ACTTTATAGATAAGGTTATAGATTTTAATAACTTTAAAAACCTTAAATTTAATGAATAAATCTATATTAAATCAGTCTTATTCAGTATATTAATGAAATATATTAATTTTATATGTTTTTTTTATGTATTTACATAAAATTTTATTTAGAAATCTTAATAAATAAAATGATATTAAACAGTAATTTGATAAACTAAAATGATAAATTCAATAACGTTTTATTTTTGTTGAATTTTCCGTCCGATGGCTGGATTATTATTAAATAAATCAAAGATAAGTCTGTCCAAGAGGGATCACCATTTATTTTGCATTTCAGACTATACATACACATTAATGGCGACAGGCCTTCCTTTTTAGGCTTCATGCCGCCAAAAGGTAAAAAAAGTCCATTAATTAAAAAACGCAAACATCCAATTAAAAGTAAAAAGATGTATGTATAGTCTGAAATGCAAAATAAATGGCGATCCCTCTTGGACAGACTTATCTTTGATTTATTTAAGCGTTTTATTTTTTAAAAAGCATACAAATTCAATTTAAAAAATTATAAAATAGAATTTCTGTAATGGCATTAAAGTAAATTAATACCTCATGTAACAATTCGAAAGTTAAAAGATGATTCATTTTATTCTACAAAATTTAGAGAGAGGTTAACTAACATTGATTTTAAAACAATGGAAGAAAATAGAGCGAGATAATTTAGGATGATAACCTTGAGACAACTAATCCATTTTATACTTTGAAGTCCTACTGATTCACTTCTTGTCGTTAAATATGGAAAATAAATAAGTAAAAAGTTTTATTCATACTCTTCAGTGTATATTATTTTCAATTGAATCGCAAAGTTGTGATTATGAATATAATATTAAATAAATTAATTTTATAATTATTTTATATTAAAATGAAAAACGTTTCATAACTATGTTATCCACGTCTCAGTATTTTGGCAAAGAGCCACATGCGTTTCGCAATCTGTTGCTTGGCCAGTCTTATTCTGTACACTGCTTTTTAAAGCATATAATAATTTTTCTTCTCTGAGCACTGAGAGAGAATATTTTACAATGAAATTTTTTTATTTTATAAAACTTTATGTTAAAATAATTTTTAAAAATTATGAAATTTTGTTGTTATTCTTGAATGAAACTAAAATTTCACTAAAATATGGCTCCATTCTACCGTAGCGAATATACTGAAAACTTATAAATCTATCCTATAATATATTACATCACCTTTATATAATATTGTGAAATGTACTCCCAGCTCGTTGTAAAAAAATATTATCTAGTTACATTTATTATAGTTTACATTTATAAAGTAAAATTTAAAAACACGAAACTGGTTTTATATTTTAAAAAATATATACAATGTAAGGAAATATATAAAACATTCTATTCGATTGTTGCATATTTTAAAGTAAATATATTATAATACTCGTATACTAAAATTCAACTATATTCTGTTTTAATTAACTATTGATTGACATCATTAATATAAATATAAATATAATTCATATTTATATTAATGATGTCAATCAATAGTTAATTATACATTAAACCTCATTGTTTTTAAGAAAAATATTTTAGGTAAAATTTTTGTTAAAGATTTTTTCCCCTAAATTTATTTGCAAAGAAATAAAAATCTCAATTATTTCTACTATTCATTATGTATTCTATTATAAAATTTAAACATTGTAATTCTGAATAAAATAATTCAATTATAGTTAATTGGAAATTTTTTGATATTCTTAAGTTATTATACATTTCGATATTAATTTTTTATTTATTTTGAAAAACAATCATAAAATACAAGCTATAATCATTTCTTAAGTACAATAAATAAATAAAAATATAAACATAAAGAACATTTTTTAAGATATAAAAATTGAAATACAAACAAATAACATGAAGTAGTGCACCTATATACTTATTGTCATTGTATAATTTTAGCGAAGTCAGTTTGACAATCTAATTTTAGATTATTGCCTTCTTCATGTTAAATTACAATACTTTCACATTATGCGCAGTTTAAAACATTTATTTATTTTTTTCCTTTTAAACTATACTAGCCAGAACCCGTTAAAAATTAATTTTTTTTAAATCAGCTTATAATTTTTACATATTATTTTTCCAATATCTCACTGAATACAATATTCTTAATAAAAAAACTTATTTCCATTGATTTAGTGAACATTCTAATATTTTAAAAATATTTCATTCTGAACACAGCTCTTCAAAAGTATGTTTACGCATTGTCAAGCCTGCTCAATGATAGCTTGCTTGATCAATTCCTTTTTATTATATAAGTATAATTACTTAAAAAAATATTATATATTTTTTATTTTAATTCTAGATGTTTAATATCCATACTGTAATATAATAAAATAATTCTTTTAATTTTTATTAATTATTACTGTTAGTATATTTTCAAAATACTATAGAAGACATGCTATATTCAATTTCAGTTATATTAATTAACAAGTTTCCTATTTCTTGAAAATGTTTCATGGAAACTTGATATTTTGCCAGAAAAAGATACTAAAAGAGTTACTTAACTGAAATTTTTGAAACAGTTGGCAATAATCCTAACTTACCAGAGATTTTCCCGAAAATCAAATCGAATGAATTGAAAATAGGATATTAATTTTGAAAAATTTTTATTGGTTTAATTTAATTTTACGTGATTTATAGATAAATTATTTATAATTAAATATACTTTAAATATTTATGAAAAATTAAAAAAAAAAAAAAAACGTTTTAAATGTTAGCACATTTTTATAGGAAATATAGTATATAATTTAATGTTGTAATATTACCATGCCAAAGTAATAATATATTTTTTATGAATTTCATGGAGAATGAAAATATCGATAAGACAGAAACGTCAAATGTGTTAATTTTGGCGAAAGGACAATCCGTAAATAGTTTATTAATCTAAAAGAAGTTTTACAGCCAAATATAAACATCAGATTTTTATTAGCCTTTACCCATTTTCTTTATAATCCATAAAATATTTTATGAATACTATTAATCGATAAAACTTATATTTTTAAATATTCTTTAATATCACATATATTTTTCTAATATTAGATTTATAAATATATTAATAATATAATTTGAAAGTATTTTAACTAGCTAAACACTGAATTTACCAAAAACCGATAATAGAGATTCAATTTATAATTATGTGTAATTTCCTTCATCCATAAAGCTTTTACGAGACTAAAAATATAGGGAAATTAAAAACTGATATAAATTATTTTAAAACTAACAATAAATTTATTCAGTGTTTCTGAATAATTATGTTCATTCATTGTATTTCAAGCAATAGTCTACAAGACTGTTATTTGCAAAAAATAGCTTATTTATTTTAATTGTATTTAACGAATTAATAATTACAAAAATTTGAAAAGAATGATTTAAAGTAATCCATTCTTCAATATTTCAAATAATGAATGGCTAATAAATATAAATTGGCATTAAATATAATTTTAATAATATACTTTTTCATTTAAAAACGAAAATTAAATATACTTTTCAACTTCATTTAATCGATTTTACGTCTATTATTTTCTCAATTTTTTGTGTAAATGTTATTTTTTTTTTATAATTTTATAAAACTAAAAATTTTTACACAGATCACGTCGCCTTTAACCTCTTCCTAGTCATTGTGGGCAGAACTCCAAGTCATTCAGACTCCTTCATACCAATGTGCTGTTTTAGTCAACTAAATGAAGGATGTCACTTTACGTGTTTCGATAACAGGTTATTCTTATTCGCGTTGTTTATAAGCTATCAAAGTCGATTTCGAAAGAGAAATGTAAAATGGTTGTTTAAAAAGCCAAACAACTATTGCTAAAATTACTAAAATAGTTATAGTTATTTTTTTAATTTAAGCAGGTCATTCAGTGTTTTTAAATAATACGAGCATTAACTTTTGACAATTTACCAAATAATTATTTGACGTTTTTATTAAATTTCTTTTACTTATATTTATTTAATAACAAACAAAACATTATAAATAATTCTAATATACGTAATAGAAAGCAGAATTTAAGAAGGAACTTAACTATACCTTCATTTTTATATCTAAAATCTTAAATCTGAAATGCTAGTCGGAATTTTTGCTTGATCAAAGAAATTGATGCGGTATTGTGCAAAATGGTATTAAGATTACATTGAGTAAGTGTTATAAAATCGTTTCAACACTTGTCTTTGCTTAAGTTATGAAGAAATTCCAAAATTAAAATAAACTTTTAATTTAAATCGAATTTTTAATGTCGTAACTTCGCAAATTGAATGTAAAGAATGTAAATCGAAAAGTTCAGAAAATGAAAATTTATATAATTTTTTTTTATTTTGATTTATTTAATGACAATCCAATCAAATTTTTTGCACGAAAAATGGAATATATAGCCTAATAATTATGCTGATGCAACCGACCAGACAGTGATTTAATATAAACTAATTTTCAGAGCACAAATAAAAAAATATTAGTATAATTCATACATTGTGTTTTTCTTTATTAGTAAAATAGAATTTCAAAAAATTAAAAGAGTGAATAAAGAAGCATATAAATGATCTTAAATTCATTTTATTTTAGCAAAGAAAAAAATTCAATATAAAAAGTTTCATAAGATATTTGAAAAAATAAAATGAGGTTATTCCTTTCAAGTAAACATTTTATAAATTATTCTGGCTCCGTGTCAGAACACTGTGACAACTGTAACTTAAATAAATGATAAGCCTGACAAAATCTGAAATAGTGCAGTGCAATATTAAATCTGAAAATTTATGGCTCCAAAGTTCTGAAAATTTCCATAAAGGCAAGCAAATTTCAACTTGCCATTATGGAAATTAACAGTGTAGACTAGGTGTTATATTTACTCTTATCAATAAATTTCACCATATTAGCATCTATGATCGAAGATACCTTTTACAGGTTTAAATATAAACTATTCTATATTTATTAAATAGATTACTACGCTATAAGGTATTAAATAATCACCATGGAAATCCGGATATGAATCTAATCTGGATCTTTATATTTATAAAGCTATATCAGATAAAGGCGTCATTTCCTTTTGTCATATGCCCTCTTTTTTGTTGTGCGATTCTGAAATAATAATAATAATAAGTACTATTTATTTTTATAATATATTTTATTTAAATTTTTTAAAATTCATAAAAAATGGATTTCGTGTTCTGAAAATCTAAATTTCAGAATAAAAATCTGTTATTATCCTTGAAAATTTTGTTTTTCACCCTTACATATGGATAGAAGCTCGCTTATCTAATACTTGCTACGCTCATTCCAATCAACATTATTGCAGTCGAACTTGCTTTTAATCGGTAAAATTAGGACTGTCTCGGACACACCCACCCACCCACACAACACACACATATATACAAATATTATATACAGGTAATAGTGAAATTTTCTATATATTTTTGCCAGAAGCAATTATATTAAATTATGCATTTCAAAGTGAAAAATTATTCTAATATCAAAATATTTTTTAAACTTAATTTACAATAGGTAATGCTTCGTTGAGCAAGAACCACAAAGATAAAAGCAATAGTAACAAATAAACAGTAAAACCTGTGTAAACCGAATTGAAAAGTTTCCGTTTTGAACAGGTTCCACTTTGGACAAGTTTTACTGTATTAAAAAGATACAATAAAAAATAACAAGTAACAGAAAATGAACACAAAAACATTTTAAAATAAATGCTATAAAACATAAATATAAAATATATTATACACTTAAAAAATTCCACAATTTTTATATTCTTAAAAGTATAAACAAAAAGTAATACAGATATTTTATTACACATCTATAATAGAGTATTTAGAAAAGTTTTAAACATTTAAGAAAAAAACAACTAGCTCAAAATAAAATGTTTACACCGTTCATGTTTTGATGTTACATACGTTATAAGAATGGTACAGTATCTGTGTCAATCTTTCTTTTTTTATTCACGTTAAACAAAAGCTTTTTATAAGACAGAAACTTGGTTCTTAATTATAATCAGTAAAATACTTAAATAGGAATATAAATAACTTATTAAGTTATATAAGNAAAAATATATATATATAAATTAAATAAATAAATAAATATTCAAAACTCATGAATAAATCCTACTGTATATTTTTGCTAGTAAAATTACAGTAATTACTTATTTATAAAAGGAAAATACTTTTCGTATATACAGCTACACCCATTTCTTGAAACAATCTATTGCATGATATAAACAGAAATACCTAATTCTTGAAAAAGAAAGTATTTTGCTTCTTTCATATATCTTATAATCGTACGATAATCTACGGCCAATTGGCTTTAGCAAGTGTAAGCAAATTTTCTAAGAAAACTAATCAGTTTTGTCTACATGTCAAATTTTAGTTGGTGTTCGAAAACATTTATACATAGGAATAACAAATTCTCATCAAAAATAATCCAGATATATTTAATGTTTTTTGAAAAATCATATTGCCAGAAAAGAACTGAAGAATCAATAACTTTAAAATCTAAAAGTTATCAAGCCTTTCTGATGGTTTATAGATCCTGTGATTAAAAATAAATCTTACATCGTTAGTTGTTGAAAGCCAATTTTATAAATATATATTTTATTTATATTTTATTGTATTCCTTTACTCTAATAAGTTTATATGTAAAGAGACTTATTGATTAATAGAATTTTGTACAGTAAAAGCGGTAAACTTAAAAAAGAAAAAAAGTCATAAATAAAAGATCCGAGTTCGTTTACTCGCTGTTCGAATAAACTAAAGGGATTTTAACAAAAATTGGTAAAATTGATTAGACAGAGAAGTTGCTCTTAATGATATTGATTTAAAGAAACAGAAATATGCCTGAGGCTGTTACTATTTTTTTGCAAGACTTTATAATGATATCAGACAGCAAAATCGCTTAACGATGACTTTTGTTGTTACATTATTCGTCTATAATTTCCATTTAATTTCCTTTTAAATAATCTAAAATGAAAGGACAAAGAATAAGACGAGAAAAGGATAAAATATATTGAAAATAGAATCAGGTCTCAGACATCAAAGGCAGTGCACGTCAGGCATAATCCCAAGGAAAGTACTTTAATCTCTTTACTGATTTCTTAAGAATCAATTAACAATTGTTTCCTCTGGAAACGATTATAATGCAGGTAAAAAAAGTGCTGCCATTGCTAAAACTGAAAGATACATTTGGATCTTTCAGTTTTAGCAATGGGAAAATATCTATTTGGAAAAATAATTAATTATTTATATCTTTAATTGACAACTTAATATTAACTAATTACGGATTCAGCCAGGCTCGTAATAAAACAGGTAACGAATAACTGCATATATAACATGAGAAACTCGATCCATAAAAATTCCCAAAGCTCTGTTCCAAAGCGACAGGCAAATGCTTGCTCCTCAATCACTGCACTGATAATTTACAAGCAAATAACGAAAAAAAATGATAAAAAATATACATTTATTTGCAATTGATGCTGATAATTTATTGTTTCTTTAGAAGCGCTACAATTAAATGTATTTTAAATTCAATTCTGTTCAATACTCTTATTCTTATAAAATCTTGTATCTTTATTTGTTTATTTTAAAATCAAGATTTCCTAATTCTTGAATCAATCAAAAAATATTTTATACGTCCGCTTACTTCATGAAACTTGGAAACATAGTAAAGAAATAAACAAATTTCTGCTTACGTAATTTAATAGGTCATTTTAAGAGCAATGCAATTTTATATTCGTACACAAAGTCTAGTCAAAGATCACTATAATAATTTAGATCGCATAATTATGATTTTCATAAAATTAAAACATAACAACTGTAAAAATATAAAGTAAATGCTAATTTTTTTTATTATTAATATTCATAAATTTTAAAAAAGAATTTAATTAGTTAAAAATACATTCAATATTTTTTAATTAAAAATATTTTAATACATGATCAAATAAAATTATATCCTACAACGGTATCATTTTTACTTACAGTTAATCCGTGTTTTTAAATTGAAATGCTACTAAATAGTACTTGCAATATATTCCAATAAAATTCGATAAAGTAATATATATTACTGTAGTCTGTTTATTGATGATAATTTTATTTAAAACAAAAAATAAATATTAATTAAATGTTAATTAGATAATTTAAAATATATACTTGTTTGACTTTTGGATGAGGCATCTAAAAAAGTTGTTTTGGATTTTAATTAATTATTGTAACTAATCGGTTTTCAAAATGAATAATAATAATAAATTAACTAACTAACATATGAAACTTACCCATAATTATTTAAATATTTTTATTTTTTCCAAATAATAATAATAATCATAGGATTTTAAATAATTTAATTTCTTTCATCCAGTCGGTTATTTTCAACTTTTCCTAGAAACAATTGAAACTTTTTTACTGAATAATCACGTATTGCACGTTTGCTATCAATTTTTCAAAGTAAGCAGTCTCCGTTTATAACTTTATATTAACCTTAAAACAAATTTAAACATTAATGAAAAAATAAAATATTTAATATAGAATACAGGTTTTAAAATATGCATTAATAGTTGTATATAAATAAATATATCGAATATATTATTATTAAATTTTAATGAAATAAAATTAAAACTTTGTTATAAATGATTAAGATCGTTATTTGCAATATTTTTTTGGGATACAGTTTTCCATCATAACTTGTAATCTTTCAAAAGTAATTGATATTTTTTTTATGCTGTATTTCCTTACATATCGTTAAACCTGTTAAAGATTAATTAACACTTTATAGATAAGGTTATAGATTTTAATAACTTTAAAAACCTTAAATTTAATGAATAAATCTATATTAAATCAGTCTTATTCAGTATATTAATGAAATATATTAATTTTATATGTTTTTTTTATGTATTTACATAAAATTTTATTTAGAAATCTTAATAAATAAAATGATATTAAACAGTAATTTGATAAACTAAAATGATAAATTCAATAACGTTTTATTTTTGTTGAATTTTCCGTCCGATGGCTGGATTATTATTAAATAAATCAAAGATAAGTCTGTCCAAGAGGGATCACCATTTATTTTGCATTTCAGACTATACATACACATTAATGGCGACAGGCCTTCCTTTTTAGGCTTCATGCCGCCAAAAGGTAAAAAAAGTCCATTAATTAAAAAACGCAAACATCCAATTAAAAGTAAAAAGATGTATGTATAGTCTGAAATGCAAAATAAATGGCGATCCCTCTTGGACAGACTTATCTTTGATTTATTTAAGCGTTTTATTTTTTAAAAAGCATACAAATTCAATTTAAAAAATTATAAAATAGAATTTCTGTAATGGCATTAAAGTAAATTAATACCTCATGTAACAATTCGAAAGTTAAAAGATGATTCATTTTATTCTACAAAATTTAGAGAGAGGTTAACTAACATTGATTTTAAAACAATGGAAGAAAATAGAGCGAGATAATTTAGGATGATAACCTTGAGACAACTAATCCATTTTATACTTTGAAGTCCTACTGATTCACTTCTTGTCGTTAAATATGGAAAATAAATAAGTAAAAAGTTTTATTCATACTCTTCAGTGTATATTATTTTCAATTGAATCGCAAAGTTGTGATTATGAATATAATATTAAATAAATTAATTTTATAATTATTTTATATTAAAATGAAAAACGTTTCATAACTATGTTATCCACGTCTCAGTATTTTGGCAAAGAGCCACATGCGTTTCGCAATCTGTTGCTTGGCCAGTCTTATTCTGTACACTGCTTTTTAAAGCATATAATAATTTTTCTTCTCTGAGCACTGAGAGAGAATATTTTACAATGAAATTTTTTTATTTTATAAAACTTTATGTTAAAATAATTTTTAAAAATTATGAAATTTTGTTGTTATTCTTGAATGAAACTAAAATTTCACTAAAATATGGCTCCATTCTACCGTAGCGAATATACTGAAAACTTATAAATCTATCCTATAATATATTACATCACCTTTATATAATATTGTGAAATGTACTCCCAGCTCGTTGTAAAAAAATATTATCTAGTTACATTTATTATAGTTTACATTTATAAAGTAAAATTTA